CAAATCTAAGCATTAACCCAGCACTGTCAAGCCCACCACTAAACTATGTCTCCAAATCCCACATCTCTATGTCTTTTAAATCCCTCCAGGGATGGTGACTACCAATTCCCTGGAGAGCCTGATCTAATGCTTGATAACCCTTTCTGTGAATGAGTTTTTCCTAATATCCAACCTAAACCTCCCCTGGTACAACTTGAGGCTGTTTTCTCTTGTCCTGCACCTTGTTACTTGGGAGAAGAGCCTGTCTTCACCTGGCTACACCCTCCTCTCAGGGAGTTGTGGAAAGAGAAAGTCGCCCCTGAACCTCTTTTTCTCTACAGTAAATACCACCAGCTCCCTCAGCTGCTCCTCATCAGATTTGTGCTCAGACCCTTCCCCAGCTCTGTTCCCTTCTCTGGACACGCTCCAGCCCCTCCATGACTTTATTGTAGTGAGGGGCCCAAAACTGATCACAGGATCCAGGGTGTGGCCTCACCAGTGCTGAGCACAAGGGGACAATCATTTCCCTGGTCCTGCTGATATTGCTGATATTGATGCTCCTGGCCTTTTTGGCCACCTGAGCACATTCCAGCTCACGTTCAGCCACTGTCGACCAGCAAACCCAGGTCCTTTTCCACTGGGCAGCTTTCCAGTCACTCTTTCCCAAGTCTGTGGAACTGTGTGGGGTTGTTGTGACCCAAAGACAAGACCCTGCACTTTGCCTTGTCAAATTTTATCCATTTGGCTTTGGGTCACCAATCCTTGTCCAGACTCTGCCTTTCTACCCTCCAGCAGTTCAACACTCCCATCCAACCCAGGATAGTCTGCAAACTTTCTGAGGGTGCATTTGACCCCCTCATAAAGATCTTTGATAAAGATAATTTTTTAAAAAAATAAAGATACCTTCTTGTTAGAGAATTTGTGCTCTGACATTTTAAGGAAATCCTTAGCCTTAGAATCTCAGTCTGTGCAGAACTTTTATAAAGGTTTTGAAATGCATCCATCTTCTGGGTGTTTTCAAGGGGTCTGATTTATTTCTTCCTTCCCACAAACCAGGATCTTACAGGCCCTGCAAAACTCTGAGTTTGGGCACTTAGAATCACGAAAAATCACTAGTCATTTTTTAACATCTAGCATGAAACTGTCAAGTGTCAGATAACATGAGAAAGTCAAAGAAAAATGTGTTGTAAATCTAACTGAAGATTTATATCCTAGCTCTTTCATTTTAATCAATGCTAATAGATTTTTAAAGACAAAAAAGGAAGAAAGGAAGAGTATCCTTTGAACAAAAAAAAAAGTTAGGTAGAGGGTTTAAGGTATTAAAAAAGTGTGGTGATTTTATTTTTCAATAATGAAATTAAACTGATTACTGAGGATAACAGCTGAGGAAACAAGTGTCTGTGCTAATTCATTTTCCAAATAGTAAAAATTATTTTGTAGCTATTAGTTTTATTTTATGACAACTCTATAGAGTGATATATTTCTTTCCCTTCACAGCATTTTTAAGTAGAAAATCTGACTTTTATCAGATAATGAATCAGGCATTCTCAACCAGTATTTATACCCAAAGATCAATTAATCTGATTTGAATTATTCAACTTGCAGTTTATTTCCCTTCCACATAGGACAATGCCATATTACCTACCTCTTCAGGAAACTTGGTGGATGATGAGTTTTCCCCATAAGCCTTTATTTCATGTTGGATAGTGCAGGACAGTGTAAGGTCCAATTCTCACTTCCCAAAATTGCCCTAAACCAGGACACCAGTCATTGCCAAATGTTCTCTTGGTAGATGCCTCCACTTATCTAGATGCCAGACCCCAGAAATTAGACTCCTTTCTCTTTTTTACTTGCTTGTGAGTTTCTATTCATCATCACTCTCTCTGGTGAGAGCTTGTTTTTAAATATCCACTTTCATCTTTACTTGTTGGATGCATTTCATGGATGTGTGAAATGAACCTTCTGTGCAGAGTACCATAAGACCATTTTAAAATAGGTTCAATAAAAATGTTAAATGTGGTTCTATTTCTAATTTTAGCTTAAGAGAATGAGTAGCCATTAAATTCTCATCTGTAATTATTAACATTTTTCATGTGCATTGATATGTGTTAATACAAACAGCTCATACATTTGTATATATTGTGCAAGTTCACTTTCTTTAGATTGTGCTCCCAAGAACTCAAGGTCCTTGATATCCCACATCATTAGAGTCATGATCTTGGCATTACTACAAGTGCAAAATAAAGATATTCCTGTTTAGACAGAGCAGGTTCTGTTTATGCTTTAAATAGATTTTAAATTAAAGCAGAAAATGAATGGTTCTGTAACCAGCTGTGTTTGTTCTCTCTTTGCCTTTTCTCTCTCTTTTTCTCAGATCTGGTGCTCTATTGCCTCTTCTGTTACTCTTCACTCTTTTGATCAGCTTTCTCCTCCTTCCCTTTAGTTGCAGGCCAGATGTTCTTACAACATGTAGATCTTTCCAAATACTTTATTTCCTTTGTAGAGTAGCCACGTCTGAAACCACAGCCTGGCCAGTTGTAAGTTGTTTCAAGTGATGTATTGTCTTTAAAAAACACACTGAAGTGCATTTCTCTGTCAGAATTTCTGAACTGCACAAAATGAGAGATTTCCCCCCTTCCCTGTCAAGGGTGGGGGAAGTGATGGAGCGCTTTTTTTGGTAGACAGGAGAGGTTTGTTCCTTCTGTCTCCCAGATGCTGAGATGCAGAGTCAGCGCTGCTGAATGCTCGGGGGAGGCAGCACACACCTTTTCTATTGCAGACAAGCAGTGGGTACCAGTCCTGCTATATGCTCTAAATGCAAAACTTTTTATTGCTCTGCTGTTCAAGCATTAATCTTTAGCATTTATGCAACATTTTGTATTCCTGTGTTTTCTGTCTGTGCTATTTAATTTTCATTATGCTCTTTGGATACTCCCAAGTGAAAACCATTAGAAAAGACCTTTTGCAGCATGCAGGCCAACAGTAATTGCCATCCTTATGACTCAGACAGAAAATCTAGGCATATAATCTAAAATATCTACCAAAGCAGACAAAAGGAGATGGGATAAATTTTAGACTGGTTTTGTTGCCAAAAAACAAAGTGATTTGTTGTATCTCTATTACAAGAGTTTGAAACTAATATTCCTTTCCCTGAGCACAAAGATACTGTGAGTATGTTTAAAACACACAAGGTATACAGAGGTGGTACCTGTCCTGAAGACCTGCCCACCTCTGCATGAATGGCTCAAAGCTGATCAATATGGTTTCACCATGAAATTGTATTTAGATACTTAGAGGTGAGGATCTGAGTCTCTGTGACTTGTGTTTTCCTAGCCTGGATCAGCAAAGAAACATCTCCACCTCTATGCATGTGTATAATACAAATAGCAAATGTCACAGTGTTTCTGATCTCCTGATGGAAACAGTAGCCTAGATATCTGTTCGCTGGAGCTGAGGACAACAATTGATCCCCCATCTGCAACTATGTTAAAGGCTGGATAATCAAAAGCCAAAATCAACAGAGGAAGCAGAGACAAAAGTGTGATGATTTGTTCTAGGTAAAAATGAACAAAAATTTCAATTAGAGCAGAGGTAAAGTGTGATGAGATACAGCCTTTTGAGTTACAGAAAATTCTTTGCTATTCACATTCACCAATTAAGCGATCCAGAGTAAAATGATTCTAACAATAATACCTGGGCCTGCATTCCACTATTTCCAATTACACAAAAGCTGCAGGCAATGAGTTGCTCATTATTCTAGATTTTAGGAGAAGATACTGAAATGAACTGTCTGCTTTCTGAAAGCATTCTGGAAAGATTCCACTACTGAAGCTGAGGCCAATTTCCTTTCTACTTCAAACTTTGCATAAGTGTAACATATTGTAGGTCATAGAATCACAGAATGGTTTGGGTTGGAAAGGACCTTAAAGATCATCATGTTCCACTACTCTGCCATGTACAAGGGCACCTTCCACTAGGCCAGATTCGTAAGAGCCACATCCAACCTGGCCTTGAACAATTCAAGGGGTGGGGCAGACACAACTTCTCTGGGGAACCTGTTCCCGTGCCTCACCACTCTCACAGTAAAACATATCATCCTAATAGCTAATCTAAACCTGCCCTCTTTCAGTGTAAAGACATTCCCTCTTGCCTCATCACAACATGCTCTGCTCGAAGTCCCTCTCCAGATTTCTTGTGGGCCCCTTTAGGCACTGGAAAGTGCTGTAAGATCTTCCTGGAGCCTTCTCTTCTCCACAAGGAAATCACTCCAGATGTCTCAGCCTGACTTCACAGGAGAGGTGCTCCAGCCCTATGAGCATCTTCATTCCCCTCCTCAGGACCATTCTGTTTCAGACCTGGCAGCCTTGCCCAGGTAAACCTTGATTGCTGCAGATACCCTGCAGGCAGGTTGCAGCTACCTGGAAGTGCCAGGCAGGCTCAGGGTGTCTGAGCTGCCCTTGCACAGCAGCCATGGGATGCCCAAGGCTGGGCAGTACTGTGGAACACAGGGATGGACACATGCTGGTGATACTGAAACAGGAACATGGGAATCCTCACCTTTGCTTTAGGCACTTCAGTGGGATTCATCTTGCCTGATATATGCATTTAAAATTTAGGGATCTAATCCCTTTGTAGTCAATGGAGAGATGTAGTAATGCTCTTTAGTATAACTAATCTCCCCTCAGTGACAATAGAAAAACCCTAGATGACTAGCTTAGACTAATTGCTCAGCTTCAAAGGTGGGATTTAACCACCTGAAAGAGTAAAATGCTATCAGATTAAAGTGTAGCTTTTCACACCTCTACCAAACAAATGTGATTTGAGCCTAAATAACTGCACAGAACAGCAGATAACTGACTTAGACTGCAAGTGCCTCTTGTGAGAAGAAGAGGTATTTTAAATGTTTGTGCAAGCCACAATAAAGCACTGATTTATACATCTTGCAGTGTTCTGTATTGTGGTCACACTGCTCTGGAGTTTATTGGATTTTTTCATTTTAAAGATGGAGATGTGAGCAAGAGGTTAATTGGTTTGCATGAGATCTGACACGGGGACACTTGGTAAAATGGGGACATGAATCAAAGCTTTCTATTCCTCACATGATTGCACTCATGATTTTTGGTCCATTGTCCTGGACATTTGTCCACCATTTCTTCATCATGAAATTGAGTCCATCTCTTGACTGGTAGAAAGACTTTTATAGTGTAGGAAAACAGCACTATATTTTGGGCTTCTGAATACTTTTAAAATACTGTAAACAAATGGAATGGTCAAGAAATAATTGAAACTAGAAGTAGAGAGCAGAAGGAACACTTCTAATTGGTATAAACAAGTCATCTTTACTGGTTTGCCTCTGATCATTTTGTTTATGTAAATAAATTTTTGTTATTCCTGTTGCTTTTCAAGGATTTGCAGCATCACATAATTAGTTTAGCAATGGCCATACGTGGAAGGCTTGGGTTTCCATTAAACACAGGGCAACAAAATTATTAAATTTCCACTGTATGTAATTTGTGTAGAGCATTCTGCAATATATGCATATCAGTCATGAATCTACAATCAATTGTCATATTAAATGTTGAATTTAAGCCCACAGCTGGACTTTCATCCTGAAAGAAGCCAGATAGCCCTGTGCATCTGGTTTAATCTTCCCTTCAGCCATATTATTTTAAAGGCACTCCTGTTTAGTGTATCTTACAAGTGAAAAATAATACTGATATTCCCTCTCATCCTCAGCAGCTGTGATCCCTCTGCAGATGTTGTTCTGTCAGACGCTTCATTACGTGTGATAGAAAGCGTAGGTTCTTTTCGTCTGTGTCACTGTTTTGTAGATTTTATTTTCTTTCTTTTATTTTATTTTTTATTTATTCCTTTGGCTGGAGATGAGTCCTTCCATAACACTTCACTTTATCTCCTGTTGCTGCTGCTTCTCCTTCTTTCTAAGTGCAGAAATGATCAAGAACTTGCAACTGCATGGAGCCGCCCAACAGAAGCCCATTGATTCCCCACCAAAGGGCTCTGTGTGAGCCGTTCTGCTCCAGCCTGAAAAGAAAGCTTTGTTCCCTCAGCTGGTAGTGTCTTAAGATGCTGATCCTTGCCATATTTTTTGAAAAATGTAGCAGTTCATCAGACTGTTTGACACTTCCCGTTCAGCTGTGTAGCCTGGTATTTGCTGCTGCTCCTACATCAGCCCCAGCACCATGGGGAGCTGTGCTGGGCACAAGTAATTTGGAGGTGAACAGTAAAGGAGCTGAAGTCTGGAGTGCTGGTGGCCATGCCTGAAATGGTAGTAATGGATTTCGTATTTGGGGCAGGAGGTATGGGATTTGTCATGGTGGTTGAGTATTTTCCTGGCCGCCTTCCATGACTGTTCAGATATTTTTAGCATGAAGTACAAGCTATGTTGTCTCAGTTGACCTTGGAGCATGACATTTTAACATGGAATTGGTTTGACTTGTTAATCATTAAAATGATTTATTATTTTTTATTGCAAGAGCAACTAGAATCCCAGTCATGTTTTGCAGATGAAAAGGGAAGCAAATTGAAACATGTCTTCCCTGAACTTGCAGTCCTTCATGATATCCATGTTTCCTAAGGTGCTTCTTTCGCTCTACACCATTAAAAGTAGATTATGACCAGGTTTGTTTTTTAATTTGTCTTTTAGTCATTTGACAAATATAATATTGGAGTGACTGAAACTAATCCCAAGGTTTCACAGTGCTCAATGAGAAGTGTAGAACAAAAGGATTGTTTCTGTTGCAAACAATTTATGACCTTAATAGAAGTTTACAGCTGCCATCAGAAAAGCAAGATCTTGCTACTATAGTGTATTTATCCTGGTGATTGCTCTCTTGTCGCCTTCATTCCCAGACTCAAGTTTAAAGATCAAGCCCCTAAATACCAACTTCTGTTAAGGAATTAGCAGCAGTAGCATTGCATCAGGATTTTGTTGCAGTATATTTTAAAGCCGTACTATACAATGTAGGAAAAGAGCTTAGAACCAGCCACAGACATAGCCAAAAGTCCATGGAAGTTGAATTCAAATCTTGAAGTGTAGATCAATTTTTAGCCTGACTGGACTTTTTGACAAGTTGTCAATTTTGGACAATTTGTGTTTATTGAGTTTTGCACCTCCTTAAGTTAACATGACCTGAGAGGAAATTACAGTAGTTTTTAAGATGCATTTTACTCCCACAGTGGTGCAGAAAAGCTTTTGACTGAAAATAGCATTAAGGACTTGTTGACTTTTTCAGTCTACTAAATAAGCACCTGCTCAAGTATCTGATGTACATTAAAAAAATAATAAACAACAACAACAACAACAACAACAACAAAAACCCACGAAAAAAACCAAAAGCCAACCATCCTCCTGCATGGTTTAAAGATTTACCCAGCAAAAGCTGAAACCAAGGCATGAAAATAAACCTCTCTTTGACTACCTTGGCAACTGGGAAGACCACAACCTGCTCCTACAAATCACATGGCAGATTTCCCAAATAGGGCCAAAGAGGCTGTTTCCCTGAAATCTGTGTCACACTATAGTTCCTTTCATACATAGGAAGTGAGTAAATCATTGAATAATGCAGCATCCTTCCCCATCTGTGAGAACTGTGCCAAAGCCAAGCGTGAGGGTCTGGGTTAAAGCAAACTCAGTTACTTGGTAACTGAGTTGTGTTTTGGAGGGGTCAAATTTGGAGGGATTTTGGACTTGTGTTTTTTGGGGGTTAAAATTGACAAGAAAAACTGAAAACTTGAGGACGATCCCCAGGTGCCTGCATTAATACTCCCCAGTCCTCTGATGTGAGCTGGCAGGTCCCATAAAGCCACTCAGCCTTGAACAGGGAAGGGAAGGAGGGAGAGAGCAAAAGCTCCAGCTGTGACTCCAGAGCCCCAGAAAGAGCCTCTAACCCAATTCCCTTAAAGTGCACAAGCCTCACGAGCCACAGCATCTCTTTGCCACTGTATTCACTGAGTTTGCAGGGCAAACAAAAGATCCATACCAAGCATGCATCCTTCCAGAGGGGGAAAGATTTTCCTCATTTGCCCATAGATTCCCCCCTTTTCTTTCAGTTTTATACATAGAGATATGTACATGTACATATATATATACATTATTATTTCTGTTTTAACGGCAGGAGGTGGGGGGGAATGTTGCTAATTTGTTGTATTTTTTTTTTTTTTGGCTGGTAATTAGGAGAGCTAACACCAGCTAGGCTAGAGTGAACGCAAACAAGACCCCTATAGGCAGCACAGTGCATTAATGTAAAATATGCCCAGACAACATAACTTGTCAGAGAGGATTATTTCTGCTTAGTGAATCTGCAGGGGCCCCTTTGCTCCACCACTCAGCGTCTGACTAGAGAGAGAAAGAGAGAAAGAGTAGCCATTAGTGAGTAGCTACTGTGGCATTGATGTTTGAGCGCACTTCTGAACTGGCTTTTGTTGAGAATATCGGTGCAGAAAGCATGCGCTGTCCCAAATCCGCTGTTACTATGAGAAATGAGGAGCTGCTTTTAAGGTATGTTGTCTCCTTTGTTTTAACGCGTGCTTTCGAGTTGCCTGGGCCCGCTGCAACTATAACCATGCTGTGTATTAAGTAGTTTCCCTATTTAAAGGAAAAGACAGGCATTGCTGGGTGCAAGTAGCATTTTCCACTAGTTCGGGTTGCACATTTCATGTATAATGATAAATGTACGGAGAGGGCAAGGAGGGGAAAAAATAAATATATTTATCATTTCTTTTTATTTTTTTTCCCCTTCCTAAAAGAGAGACGGTATTTCTTTTATCACCTCCTTTGCAATATTTCTGCCTGCTTCATTATTATGCACTGGGCATGGAATAAGCATAGAAAAAGCTCAGGGAGACTCCATATTAGAGCTAGTGCCCTAAATACCACTTTAATTTTCACTTAGCCTATGTAAATAGTTACTAATGCTTTATCTAGTCTCTACTGCTCAAAGATGTTTTAAAAATACCTAAATACTCCTATAATGTGGGATTTCACATCTATTCTCTAATAATGCTCCCAGGTTTAGCGGGAGGCCAGCATCGACTACTCTTTTCAGAGACACACAACACGCACACACGCACACACGCACACTCACACACAGAATTATGCTGGAATTGGCACCCCGCTTTGAAAAATGTAGTCTTTTGTTTATTTTCTAGCAGACATCGTAGCATTGAATACATCTTTTGGTCTGACAATGGGACAGCTGAACAATGGTGTTGTCAAACTAGCTTAATGTATGTCTGGCGATGGGGTGGCTTGGGTTGTTTTGGGGGTTTTTTCCTTTCCTTTTCTCAGCCCCTTTTTAATTTCCTTTAATCTTTTTGTGTATACAGTAGAATATAAAGTGCGTTGCCTGTTTTGTGGTCGTTGTTTCAGTTGATATCTGCTGCAAATAGTGCAGGGAGGGGGAGGTTTGTATCTTACAATTATGGCTATTGCATTAAGTTGCAGATTTATTACTAACCTCTCCTTTAACTGTGGTGAGAAAACTTATTGATTCTGAAAGCTTACAATACTGCTGTCAATCTGGGAAATACATACTTGCCAAATGTGCCCTTTCTTGATTTTATGCCCGATCGTATCAACTTTAACTGCTGTTTTGAAGATACTGTTTCTAATTTTGTTTAGGTAATGAAAAAGCAATAAAAATGATAAATTAGATCTCAGAGTGGGAGCCCATGCAACTTTCCATTTTTATAACATTTTATACATTAGAATTTTTAAGGTCAGACAGAATAATTTACCTGAATGATTCCTATCTACAAATCAAACAAATTATTCATATGACATTTCTTAAATTATCTTTCTGTTTCAAGAAACATAGTTTAACATTAAAACCGTTAACAATTTTGGGTTTGAATTGGACAAAATTAACCTTTTGTATTGTGAGAAAAAATCGTTACAAAGCTTTTGAAAAATTTTGAGTTACTACCTGGACAGCAGCATATTCCTTAAATAAAATGAATTGTCATTACTCTGTGGAGTTTCTTAAACTGTTGAAAGTCTTTAAATACTTTATATGTTAAGTAAATGTATTGCTTTTAGACATAAGTTTAATGATTTTGTGAGGGAAAAGATTTATTTATCAATGGTTTCTGGTTTTTGCTTTGATCAATTAATAGTAGAGATTTTGTGCTTTTTAAAAAAAACTGGACTCTAGTGCATGATTTATATGGGTTGAGGGGTCTCTTGGACCTCTTAATTAAAACAAAAAGACATAAAAGATTCATCGGTAGCAGTCAGAGCCCTCTAAAACATGCATTTCAACATTTCAACACAAACATATTTGCTGGGGAGACTGAATACTTGCTATGCTGTTTTGAATTTTCTTTTTTGTCGTTGCATCTTTGTCCCTTGAGTCTTGAGATGGTGTAAATCAATAGCAAAGAGTTTATGTGAACAAAAAGGTAATATCACAGAAAATAGTTCTTGAGAAGCCAAGAGGTTATGGATTATCAGGTAGTACTTGCATGCTGTGTGTTGTGCATAAACATGAAGAAAGCAAGGATGATGTTTAGTATTATGGGACTATGACATAATTCGCTTCCTTGGGAGAACTTCTTTCAAGACAAACATTAACTCATTCACAACCACTCTGCTCTGCCTGAACTGGAGGGTGGAAACAGTGACATGTTTTTATAAAGTTATTTTTTTATCATGTCATGTTGCAGCAGCCTGAGCTTTCTAGCAGCTACTGCCCTTTGTGAGTGGCAATAAAGTGAGTTCCTCACTCTCAGTTATGTGGAAATGCCCCTTCAGGGAGAGCCCAGAGGAGCATGAATGCCACTTCTGTAGCAGCCACCAACAGATACCTGGGCAGCAAAACCAATCTCCACTTTTAAGGACTATTCAATACTATAACTGTTCCCTAAGTGCTCTGCTTACAGGTGAGTTCCTACCAAACTTACTGTAGTTTCTATGTTTTCAGATAAAATGTCGTATAAAATACATATACAATGATTTTTTTTTTTGTCTTGGATTGAAAATTACTTTGTTTTTTTCCAAAGGTATTTTCTCACATTGCATTCACATCAAAGACTGATATTTGAATTAGTTTGTGTGAATCCTACTAAAAAAAAAAATCTTTCTATGCATATTTACTGAAATATTGCTTTCTGAGCCATAACAATTATTATTAACATCAAAGAAGGTGAAGCAAAGCTGTAACACAAGTAATTTCTTAGCATGTTTAACGAAAGTAATGGCTTTTGAAAGACTACATAGGTTTAGAGATCTTATGCCTGAGCATCAGAGGTATCCTCAGTGCTGCCTGTTATGAATCTCACCCTTTCACAAAGCAATGTGGTGCCTAGCAGTTGTCAAACTTGGCAACATCTGTTTCCACAACAGAGCTAAGAGAGGTAATTCAGACTCTACATGAGTTGTTATTTGTTCTTGTAATGACCAGGTGTAAAGTCAAAACATGAACACCTTCAGTCCTACCTGCTAGAGAAAGAGCAAGACAGGTCTTAGCTTGGGACTTGGTTTTCCATGCTTCCATAGGGATATGGAATTTAATTATATTAATTTATTAGCCTGGAGTCTTTGTGTGTATTTATTTATTTATTTATTTACTTTCACATTCATGAACCACAATCAACATGCTAATATTTTCTTTGTCAAGAGAGGATGACACTGACATGTTTCTGTTATCAAATTTAAGTATGAAGGCATTGAGACCCGCCCTGCAGATAAAGACTTGGGGGTGAAAAACTGGATGTGAGCTGGCAACATGCACTCACCGCCCAGGAAGCCAATTGTATTCTGGGCTACAGCAGGAGAAGGGTGGCCAGCAGGTCGAGGGAGGTGATTCCCTCCCTCTACCACACCCTTGTGAGACTCCACCTGCAGTACCTTTTGCAAGTCGGGAGTCCTCAACAAGTCCTCAACATGGAACTGTTGGACTGGATCCAGAGGAGGGACACAAAAACAGTCAGTCTGGAACACCTCCCCTAAGGAGACGGGATGAAAGACTTGTGGTTGTCCAGCCTGGAGAAGGGAAGGATCCAGGGAGATGTTAGAGCAACCTTTCAGTACCGAAAGGGGGCTTATAGGAAAGATTTTTTTAGCAGGGCTTGTTGCAATGGGACATGGGACTGTGGCTTTAAACAAAAACAGTGTTGATTCAGTCTAGACATGAGGGGGGAATTTTTCACAATTAGTCTTGTGAAGCACTGGAATAGGTTGCACAGAGAGGTGGTGGCTGCCCCATCCCTGGAAACATTCACAGGCAAGCTGGACATGGCTCTGAGCAACCTGATCTACTTGAAGCTGTCCCTGATCATGGCATGGGAGTTGGAAGTAGATGACCTTTAAAGGTCCCTTTCAACTCAAACCATTCTATGATCCTACTCTATATAAGACTGCAAACTATACCTTTGGGGCTGAAAAACAAAGCAAGTGTTCAATTAATATTCATATCTAGAAGTTTTACTGCAAGTGTAGATTGTGCTTGAATACTTAAGAAGTCATTCAGGAGTGAATCAATACTAATTATTGTAATCAGGAGGGTTAATTAGCTGAAGATGCTGCTGATGGAAAGTTCACTGCTTACAGCCCTGAAAACACCTAAGTTGATGAAATCTGAAAGCAAGATGTCTAAGAGGACTTTGTGTGGAGAGAAGCGTTTGGCTTTCCCTTGGCATTTCAAGAGCCAGTCATTCCAAAGGGGAAACATAGCTTGTACTTTGGGTTTTTTGCATTATATTAATTCAGGGGGTATTAGAAGATGCAACTAAATCTGTTGTGAAGATATTTTGTGGTCGTCTCTCAATAAATGCACGTACCATTTTGGATAACCTGTACTGTTTCTGCTGCATTCATTTGTAGATTACCATAAATTAATATGGATAATCTTATGCATTTGAAATCTAGTTCCAGCACCGTTATTTGAAACATGCTTTTTTTTTTCCTCCAGTTGTGTTCAGGCAGAGGGACTTTACATGGTACATGCACATAAATTACACATGATCTGTTACTAATACACAAATATATTTGTGCACACATACATGTGTGCACTTAAGTTTAAACATTTCTCATTGAGGGTGTGTATTTCTATAATCCTGTGCCCTTAAAACTCCCACTCAGTTTCCATCTGCAAAACAGTATTCAACTACATATGATTCAGAGGACAGTTATTGAAGTAGTTCATGAAATTTAAGTTAGATAACAAGGAATAAAGACTGAAAAGAAATGACCAAAGAAAATCCTTTTCTTTTCCCTCAGAGCAGTCATGTTTCTTAAAGTGAGCATTTCTGAATTCAAACAAAATCCATCTGTACAAAACAGGTGACTTGCAAGAAGATTTCATATTTAATGCTGGGTGTTTGGGTTTTGCACTGGAAAAATGTTCTTGTTGTCTGGTTTTGTGTTTTTTTCCCCTTTTCCTCTAATTGTATCTCTTAACCAAGACAAATATCTGAATGTTAATTCAAGAAAAAAAAACACCTACAGAAACCCCCCCGTCAGTCACACACACACATAACCCACCCCCCACAAGTCAAGTG